CAGTACTAGTTTAACATTGGAAATGTGAAGTTTTCGGAATAAATTCGTATAAATGAGTCATGATTTTACATAGAAAGTTAATGTATCACAGGTCAACGATTGAGAATAATAAATGTTACAAACATATATTAATATAAAAAGTATTCATACGCTTTTTGAAACGGAATAAGTTTTTCATAATTAGGCCAAGCGATCTAAATTTGTTTGGGATGTTAGAGGGATTAGTTTAGTAGACAATAGCTAAAAAATCGTTTTTAAAAATTACAATTGGTTGAAATGATAAAAAAAATGAAAAATAATGTTTTTACAACATTTTTATCTGAGGTTATTTAAAAAATGCATGTTGCAGATCTCGGTAACTTATATATACAAGCTGAAAATTGTATTGAAATCGGTTTTTACACCACCTATAAGTAATATGCCATTATCTAATCCCAAGTAGAAGACAGTCTATTATTCATCCCATGAGGGTTGTAATTTTTCGCGCTAGCTTCAGTCTAGTTAGCATGTTCAATATTTTCTGAATAATCAAAATTTTATACTTGTGACCACGAAAAATACATATTAAAACGCATATTATGAATATATTACAATCTGTATTTATGTAAATTTATTTCATCATCATAAGAATTCTCGTAAAGGTTAATCGCACAACTTTTTATGCTTACTATGCTCAACAGCTTTTGGAATGCGATTTTCGATCAAATGTCAAAGGCAATACTTAATATGAAACATTTATCATCGAAATCTATGATTTTTTATTTTTAACAATGTTTCTACAAAGACATTACCATTAAAGCGGAAATAAGTTGATAGATATGATAAACTATATAACGACGAGATTCTTAGCTTTTTGAATTCCAAAAAAAGAACAATACGTTTCTTGGTTTTCCAAATAAATATCTGAATTGAATGAAATTCTCTCTCTCTTATTTTGATAATATTATAAACATAAAAGTGCCTTTGTCAGAATTTATTAAATACATTCATTTATTCATACTCATAGTATAATCAACATCTTGTTATTAGCGTATATTTCTTATATTAAATACCGAATCGATTTCTGTTATTCTCTATTACTTTATGAAACCAGTAACAAAAGCTGGAAGCAAACACTTTTCGTAATGATATTACGATATCTAATTCAAATTTTGTATTGTCTCGTTCACTTGTCTCTCATAGTTTGTGGGAAGCGCTGGATGAAAATATAAGGTTTAATAAAATTATGATTTTAGGAAAAATGAGTTTGGATGGTCTAATTTGTTATAACTTTCTATCAACGTTACATCGAAATTAAAGAATTAGTAAGATAAAATATCAATAATTCAATAAGTTAAATATGTATATCATA